TGACCCGGCCCTGTTCTAACGGGTCACTGGTGTTGATATAGCAAACCCTCTCGACGTTGCCATTGAACTTGGCACACATTGGTCCGTATTTCCGAGGGCTCCATCTATGCCCCTCGTTTCTTTCCTCAAAGTCTGCCAGAGAGTTAGTACCCTTGGACTTTTCTTCTCTCGGAGAAGAACAGTATAATGTGCCTTTTACACTTCAAGAACTGGAGGCAACGCTCTCAGCTTGCCGATCATCGGCAGCTGGGCCTGATGACATTCATATTCGTATGTTACAACATTTACATCGGTCAGCCCTTGTAGTCCTCTTACACCTCTTCAATCTTATTTGGGCAAAAGGAGTTCTTCCCCAGCTGTGGAAATCTGCATTGTTCTCCCTTTCCGCAAACCGGGTACTACGGGGACATGATGCCTCCCACTATCGCCCCATCGCTCTTACAAGTGCAGTTTGCAAAGTGATGGAACCCCTCGTAAATCGACGTTTAATGTGGTATTTAGAGACTCACAACAGTTCTCTCGCTAGTCAATATGGCTTTCGTAAGGGTCGTTCTACCATAGACCCCTTACTACGCTTGGATACGTATGTTCGTAATGCCTTTGCGAATAATCACTCAGTTATTGCCTTTATTTTTTGACCTTGAGAAGGCATATGACACAACTTGGGGTATAATATTTTGGCCCAGGCCCATTCCTTAGGCCTCCGAGGCAATCTACCATCCTTCCTTAAGAACTTTTTAACTGACAGACATTTCCGTGTTCGAGTCAATAATGTTCTTTCCCGGACTTCGTCCAAGCTGAAGGTGTCCCTCAGGGATGTGTTCTAAGCACAACACTTTTTCTCCTTGCTATAAATGATTTGGCCTCTGTTCTTCCACCCAATATTTGGTCATCACTCTATGTTGATGACTTCGCTATTGCTTGTGCAGGCGCTGACTGTCACCTTATTGCAGTTTCTCTCCAGCATGCGGTCGACCGTGTTTCCACTTGGGCCACCACACATGGGTTTAAATTTTCAAGTACCAAACTCACCAAATTACTTTCACTAGACGCTCTGTTATCTCCGATCATCCTTTGTATCTCTATGGCTCCCGTATCCCCGAACGTGATACAGTCAGGTTTCTAGGCCTTCTCTTTGACCGTCGGTTTAACCTGGAAACCTCACATTACCTCTCTGAAGGCAACTTTGTCACAGCCGGCTAAACCTTCTTAAAACCCTTGCTCATCTTTCCTGGGGAGCTGATCGTCGAACTCTGCTTCGCCTACATTCTGCCCTCGTTTTTATCGAAACTCGATTATGGTGACCAGATTTATTCCGCGGCCTCTCCTGCTACTCTCTCTAGCCTTAACTCTATCCATCACCAAGGCTTACGTTTGTGCCTTGGTGCTTTTCGCTCTTCCCCTGTTGAGAGCCTCTATACAGAAGCAAATGTTCCATCCTTGTCTGATCGCCGTGATGCCCATTGCCTTCGTTACTATGTACGCTCTCACGATCTACACATCCTTCCATTTATAGAATGGTCACCGATATTAGTAGACATTCTTTTTTTCGTTCGCCGCCCCTGTTTGCTCCGTCCCTTTTCTCTTCGCCTACTTTCACTCTTGTCTTACCTTCAGTTACCACCTTTATTTGTTCATGTAGCTTCTCAATTACCCTAACACCCTGGGAAGTTCCAGCTGTTCGGGTTCTGTCTTTCTCACTCCCTTGAATCGAAAGATCAAACTTGCCTACGGTGGCTTCCCCGCTCTCTTTTTATCTTCATCACTTCCCACTCTCATTTCATGCCACGCTGTGTACACCGATGGCTCTAAGTTCTTCAGACGGCGTCGGCATTCGCAGCAGTGTTCCGGGACATGCGTCGTTACGAGGGCATTTACTATTCATTCAGCTAGCATTTTTTACTGCTGAACTGTATGCCATTCTTTGCAGCACTTATCGTATGCAATCTAAGAATGTTTCATCGTTTGTAGTTGTCTCAGACTCCTAGTGCTCTACAGGATTTACGAAAATTTGTTGCATCTCATCCCCTAGTTCTCCGTTATCCACTTTGGCTACGCAGTATCTCCACCAAACATAAAGCAATATTGTTTTTTGTTGGGGCCCTGGTTCATGTCGAGTTCAGGCATAGAACAGGCAGACACTGCTGCGCGGTCATGCAGTATATGACCTCACAATCTTCCTATCGAGGTGTTTCCATTTCTGGACTATTTTGCTGGCAATAGCTACCCACCTTCGCACCCGTTGCAACACGTTGGACAACTCTGCTCGGTAACAAACTTCATTCTATTAAACGAGCATAGGTTAATGGCCCCGTTCTTCGTGTCTCAGTGCTATGATTTTTCACTTTACAGCAGTAGCCAGGAACCTAACCTGCTGTACGTATTAGCACGGGCCATACTTGTACTCGTCTTGACACATGCAACATCACGGTTTCCTGGTTTAAAGTGGGATGTATTCTGCAAACGCCTTTTCTAAATAACTGTTAAGCAAGATCCACTTCATGTTTGATGTCACTTTCAGCTTCTGCTCCAGTATGTAAGGTCTCTACATATCTCTGCTTTAGATTGAGTGAGTGACCACCTCCTATCAAGGTAAGGGACTGTTATTATTATTATTATCACACTGGCCGATTCCCACCAAGGCAGGGTGGCCCGAAAAGAAAAACTTTTCACCATCTTCCATCCATCACTGTCTTGCCGTAGGTTGCTTTTACACTACTGTTTTTAAACTGCAACATTAACACCCATCCTTCAGGGAGTGCAGGCACTGTACTTCCCATCTCCAGGACTCAAGTCCGGCCTGCCGGTTTCCCTGAACCCCTTCATAAATGTTACTTTGCTCACAATTACTTCTACTGTCTCCTGTGTTATATTCCCACTCGTATTTGGCCTCTGCAGGGCAGGCCTGCTGCCAATAGGAAAGCTTTTTGGCAATAAAGATACATAAGTGTTGCAAGTGTGTCTTATTCATCAACCTTTTGGTACTGTGTACCACCAATAATTACCCAAGCTGTATACATGTATTATGTTTGGTGGCTTAGGACTCTTATCAAAAAAAATTAATTAGTAGGACAACAAATTAGACTGAAGTGCTTATAATCTAGTAGATAAAGACTGTCAAACCATAATTTTACAGTATGGAGCCATGTTCTTTGTCTCATTAGTAAAGTGAAACTCGATTTACACAACCTGTTATCTTAAATTTTTCCAATTTTTAACTGTAGTCTAAAATTACTATTCTGCACTTACCCCATACCCTGTGGTGAAGCTTCTGACCCAAGAAAACAAAAAGAAGATTTGGTAAAAGAAGAGCAGCTAAGAAAAGTGTTCTTCCAGTAAAGTCCAGAACTTCAAATACTGGATACACCCAGATGCCACCAGCATATGCAATGTAACAAATCCTGCAAAAAAAAAAAAAAAAATAAATCAGTACCAAATATCATAAAAATGCTATGAATAGTTAAAGATTATATTATTCTTTCCCCTCAAGGCTGTATAGCCCTTGTGGCTTAGCGCTTCTTTTTGATTATAATTATAATAATTTCCCCTCAAGGAAGGTTCCTTGACACGGGTGAGGGGCTCTTGATCTAGGGAATTGGATCTGTGCTCTGGTTCCCTGAATTAGGCCTGAATACCTTCCACATCTCCCCCACAGGCATTGCATAATCCTATGGGTTTAGCACTCTCCCTTGATTATAATAAATTATTCTTTTTATATAACCCCCATACATATGCTTCCTCAGAACTTAAGGAATTATAAAATGTACTCTTATTACAATAAAACTCATATTGAACCTTTTGCTAACTGCCAACCCTTGTTAACTGATTTCCTTTATGGCTGGCAATATCATTAAAAAATACAATAAAATTTCACTGCATTATAAGTGGTAACCTGGTGGATGGCAGAGAAAGAGAGCAGTAAGTACATCTGATTAATTTTGATTCAGTTATCTCCATAAAATCATGCACAGCTCCATGTCATTTTATTGTCACGTCCTAATTTGCCTTTATGTTTTCAGCAAAAAAATTTATGCCATCCTTTGGAAAAGTGGAATATACACAAATGATGTTCAACAAGCATTTAAAAAAATCATTAATCTTAAAAAGCTATATTGTATGGGACTATGATTTTAAACAGTGGTTTAATTCTTGTTTCGTGGGTGTGATACTGAACTATACTCTGATAGTAATGTCTTACATTTTATGCTATTCTTGTAACCGAGTCTCTATGAACCAAAAAGTTAGTGGAATTAGTAATATGCTCTGTGACTTTGGTTATTAAAAAAATCATAATGAAACTTTTTGTAATGATTTTGGGAAATATTTATTAGGCAATGAAAAAAAGCTCTTCAACCCTTGGATTTAATGCAAACAAAGATCTTAAAATTATCATGGTTGGCTAAAAAACTACCAACTCTTTTACATGAGGATAAAGCTTAGTATTCTTAGTCAGTTTCAAGACAAATGAACCTACCATTGTACTTGTTATTAAGAGACTGAAAAATAAAACATCAAGCTAAAAATCTTAATAGATGTCAAGTTAGAGATACAAAAAAAAAAGCAAATAATGTTAGAATTTACAATCTACGTTATAAGACAATACTCATTATAGACACCAAGAGCACTTTAACCATCCATGAAATATATACATGTTTGTATTCACTGGGCTGTATAGCCCTTGTGGCTTAGCGCTTCTTTTTGATTATAATAATAATAATTGTATTCACTGGACATTCCATCCCTCCAAGTACTCCACAAAGGCTCTGAGGTAAAATTATGACCACTCAACTTCTTTAACCCTTAAACTGTCCAAATGTAGATCTACATTTGCACGCATAGTGCTCCGACCTTGATTTTCTCCATGAGAAAGAATGTAAAAAAAAAGCGGAGATCTACATTCGGAGTGCTACGTGAGCAAATGTAGATCTACATTTGGACAGTTTAAGGGTTAAAGTTTACTGATTGTATCCCTTGTACTGGGTTTGCCTTTGCTCTGATTGTGAAGGGCCTATGATCCAAAGGACTTGGCTACCATTCCTTGGCTCCAGAACCTGATTACCTCCCCTTCTCAGAGGCTGTATGGACACCTATGGCTTTGGTGTTTTCCTTATTACTATTATGTTATCTAGATTTGGTAGTAAATCAAAATGCATGCAAAGGTGAGGTTTACTTCTACAAGATTTAGGGACTGTAAGCATTACATCTTTGTGTGAATTAAACCTTATTTAGCAAGACCGCAGTATAACTGGACATAAATGGAAAGGGGGGTGTCAATTAAACGAAAATACACAGTACTGCAATGCCATATGCACATGCAATAGTCAGCTGTATGGAGAGCCTATTGGACACTCCCACACTACTGCTATTACAAAAAATCTTAATGGATCAGACTTGGGCCACTGTATGTATTTGTCTGCTAACAGACAGACAAAAAGCTCAATGCAGCAGAAATGTTGTTACATCAAGCATTTGTCCAGCCAAATATTTTGTCCTTTATATCAGAAATCCATTACATGGGTCCATTATATTGAGGTTTTACTATAAAATATATCCAGACCAGATAAATACTGTCTTCTTAATCCTTTATTTTTGTCAACAAACTACATTCTTATGTAATCACACAACCCTGAGTTACATTCCCTTGGAAGACAATCTTACAACTCTACAAATTAGTTCTACATGACAACCAAAAACTCCTTTCTCGAAACAACAATGTACAGTAATTCAATTTTAACCCTATAAAATATTAACTATAATAAATTGAGTGTTATGCCTATTTATTTTAACATAATCCTCTCTTTTATTTAATTCATGCTAGAGACATTATTATCACAGCATTAAAGTGCCAAATTTTAAAATTCTAAATTTAAGTTTAAATTCTAGATTTAAATTTAAAATTCTAGAGTTGAAGTCTAGAATTTTCAGATTTGACTATTTTAATATTCCATTTTTTTTACAGAATGTACTAATTACTATAATGATACATACCAGGAAAGGTAGAGTGCAAATTAAAAAGCAACAAAGTATAGGACACATAGAGTTTCCATCCTTTCAGATTAAAAGTGATATACATGTACTTCTCTAGAATGGTGCCAATGGATGGCAAGTATGCATTGATGTGGGTTTCTCAGCCAAGAAGGGAAACCATTCATCAAGGGATGCTGGGAAATTAGCTCCCGTGTCAAAAGCAGACAAAGCCCAAGAAGATGAATGATCAAATGTCAAAAGAAAAAGATAATGATGAGTTGAGTATCGTGGTTAATAATATAATAATAAAAAATAGCAATACATGTATTTGCAGTTTGGAGGGTTCATCTTATGAACTATATTATTGGCACACTTTGCCAAGACAGTGATACAGTGTTGATAGTGAAAGTGTTCTTCCTTTTCAGTCCACCCCTACTTTGGTAAGATGAACAGCCATGTGTGTTGAAAAAAAATGTGTGCGTTTTTGTACCGCAGGGCACCATCTTTTGGCAGGTTAGTTCCAGCTACCGCCGTTAAAGCAGAAATCGCATAAGTGGAACACACTGTTCTTCACTTATATGGCATATTAAATCATAGATATTAAGTTTAACACTAACATATATTAAGTTAGCTATAGAACTAGATAAAAAACAATATAAAAAGTAAAATACACATATAGTACACTCATTACTTACCTCAAAATATTTGTAGTTTTAATCTAGGGTGAGATGAGTAGTATGTGATGGCTACCATACCAGGCCACCCCACACACACACATAGTATTCTGACATTTAAGCATCCCAGAGTGATAAAATGCATATACAGTTCACTCATTACTTACCTTAAAATATTTGTAGTCTTAATGTAGGGTCAGAGGTGGGTAAACGAGATAAAATGAATAAATGAGAGAGAAAGAGAATGAGTACATGAGGGAGGACAGGCGCAGAGTTATGTAAACAAACCAGGCAAATGCAAGTTTTGTAAACAAACAAAGTGTACACGTCTGGTTTGTGTACAAGTTGTCTCTACAATGATACGGAGGGAACTACATAAGAGGAACTCTCCCAATCTATATAACAACATTTTTGATGAAATGAAGCCCTGAGTGAAGGCAATGGAAAAAGTTCACCGACTCCTTTTTTGGGGTTATCCTAGGTACTTTACACATATGCTGCTATGTAAGATAATCTATTGTAACTGTATTTGTGTATACCTAAATGAATCATTACTTACATATGAAAGAATAATTTTCTGCAGTTACCCTTCATAGATGGATAATGAAAAATTAGTATGTATATTTAACGTATTATACGACATTTAATGTGAACCGGTGATTATTATTATTATTATTATCATCATCATATCTTATTACTAATATGGTGTTCAAGACATTTTTATACAGACACTTACTAATTTTAATGTTGTACCTGCATGCCCGCCAGTATAACTATAAGTATAATTATCAGAGTTATATATAAATCGAGAGGAGAGACGAGAGGAGAAGAGAGGAGATTTTGGGAAATGTTGAGTGGTGAAGGTAGGGAGTTTTGAATCAAGTGTGAGAGTTTTTATGGTGGTTGGCATGTCAAGGTAAAGTGGGTTAAAAAATGATATGGAGGGAGGAGTAGTAGGTAAAATTTGGGGTTGCCTGGGGTAAATGGTAAATAGGGCCAGGGGGCCTGTAATTTGAGCTAAGTTGTAGAGAGTGATTTTGGTAATAAAGTATATTTTTTTATGAAAATGAGGATAAAGAACAAAGAAGGGATGTATGAAAGTATAGTAGTACCATCACTCTTATATGGATGTGAAGCTTGGTGGTAAATGCAGCAGCGAGGAGACGGTAGGAGGCAGTTGGAATGTTGTCCTGAAAGGGCATTGTGTGGTGTGAATATATGCAGAAAATTCAGGAGCAGTGTTTTGGAAAAATTTGGAGAAGGTTGGAGTTAATAAAAGATTAGTCTGTGGGCCTAGATAGGAGGGTGTTGAGGTGGTTTGGTCATTTAGATGAGAAATGGATCAAAGTAGAATGACATGGTGAAGCATGTATATCTATAGGGGAAGGAAAGGGGTAGGGGTTCGTACTCGAAAGGGTTGGAAAGAGGGGGTAAAGGAGTTTTGTGGCGAGGGGCTTGACTTTCCAGCAAGCGTGGCATGAGCGTGTTAAGTAGGAGTGAGAATGGAGACGAATGATACTTGGGAAATGACGAATCTGTTTGGAGTTGTGAGAAGGTAATATTTAGTGAAGGATTCAGGGAAAACGGTTATTTCTTTAGTAGGACTTGAGTCCTGGATAATTGGGAAGTACAATGACCTGCACTTTAAAGTGGGTCTTGGGATAATTGGCATGTTTGGAGGGATAAGTAGTGTTTCTTTATACGTATATGCTTCAAAACTGTTGTATTCGAGCACCTCTGCAAAGCAGTGTAATTGGGGTGAGTGTGGTGAAAGGTTAAATTAGATGAAAGTATTTTCTTTTGGGGATTTTCTTTCTTTTTTGGGTCCCCCCCGCTCGGGGGGAGACGGCCGCTTGTTAAAAAAAAAAAAAAAAAATGATGTACCCGAAATGAAAGTAGTTTTTATTTTATGTTTGGGTGGTTTAAAATTTGTGGGTAGGCTCCAGGGTACATTTAATAGAGAGGAATGATATAGGATCTACGTGGCCCCGGTTTAACGATATTTTTTCACTCCAAAAGTATGTTCAGGTCCCAGACTGACCGAATTTTTTCCCCAAAAGGAATATTGTGAAGTAGATTAGCCCTTTTCAGCCCCCCCAAAAATACACGTACAACGCCTTACATAAATACACTTACAAAATTGGCGCTTCGGAGGTGATCTTTATGCGGGGGCCCTGTATTTAGTTGTAGTACAATTAGAGTAAGGGGTAGGGGGGAAAAGAGGAGGGGGCAAAAACAAAAGAAAGAGGGAGGTGAAAGTGTATAACAAAGGGAGGGGAAGTTGGGTTTAGATATAACGCATTGGAGAAAGGTGTGTAGTGCAAGATGGTAGGGGGGGGGTTTTTGAAGAGGGTTGTAATAGTTTTAAAAATGGTATTGAATGGGGGGAAAGAAGTTTGGGGGTTATAGAAGGGTGGGGGCGGAGGAAAGAGGAGTGATTGGTGGAATGATAAAGAAAGGGTGTGAAAAAAGAGAAAAAGGTAGCTTATGGAGGTTTTTAAAAAAGCAGAAGTGTTTAAAAAGAAGAGCGGATAGGGAGAGTAAAAGAAAGGTAAAGAGAGTGGTGAGAGAGTGAAAAAGGGAAAGGAGCAGATGAAGGTGGGAGAGGCATGTCAAAAAATTTTAATGAAAAAAAAAAAAAATTTTTGGGTGAGTTAAAAAAGTTAAGAAAGCCCAGGGAAAATATGGTTTGTCAGTTAAAAACAGAGTTGGGGAGTTAGTAGATGGGGAGATGGAGGTATTAGGTAGGGGAGAATATTTTTTAGGAAATTTTAAATGTTAAGGAAGAAGGAGAGGCAGTAATTTTATGCATGGGCAGGGGGGGTATACCCTCTTTTTGGGGTGAGAAGAGCAGAAAAGTAAGTGTGGGGGAGGGACGTGAGGGATTACGTAGAATGAAAAAGGGGGTAAAATAGCTGGAACTGATGGGTCATGAAGAAATGCTAAAAGCAGGGGGGGGATAAGTGTTGGGGGGTGATTTGGGACTTTTGTTTAATAAATGTATGAAAGGGGAAAGGTACCTAGGGATTTGGGGGGGGGAGCTGTATGCCCCTTTTAAAAAAAGGGAAAGGGGACAAAAGAGAATGTAAAATTTTAGAGGAATAAGTTTATGAGTATACCCTGAAAAGTGTCGGTAGGGTTTTAATTTAAAGAAATTTGAGGTAAGACAGAATGTAGGTTGCAGAGAGCAAAAGGGGTTTCAGAGGGGTAGGGAATGTGTGATAGTGTTTACATTGAAGATATTTTGTGAACAGCATTTAGATAAAGGGAGGGAATTTTTATTGCATTTTGGATTTAGAAAAGGAATAGATAGAGGGATGAGGAGCAATGTGGCGATGTTGCAAGTATAGGGAATGGTGGTAAGTTATTAAAAGCTGTAAAGAGTTTTTTTGGGTAGTGGGCTCAGGTTGGGGTGTAAAGGGGGGATACTTCCAGTAAAAGTAGGTCTTGACGGGATGTGTAAAGTCACCTGGTTATTTTAATATATTTTGATGGGGTTTTTAAAGGAAGTAAATGCTAGGGGGGTTCGGGGAGGGGTGGGATTAAATTTTTTGGGGAAAACAAAATTTAAAATGGGAATTGCACAGTTCTTTTTATGATATACTGTGCTTTGGGAGATTCTAAAGAAAAAATTTCAAAGGTTAGTGGATGAGTTTGGGAATGTGTTTTAAAGGTAGAAAAAGTTGAAAATGAACATAGAAAAGGTAAAGGGGATGAGGGTACAAATGATTTAGAAAAAAGAAAAATGGATATCAAATTTGGGGAGGGGGGAGTATGGAAGAAGTGAATGTTTTTTAGATACTTTTGGGGTTGACGTGTCGGCAGAGGATTTTTTAAGGAAAGAGGGGTTAATCATAGAAATTTATGGGGAAAAAAAATTTGGGTGGGGCGTTGAGGTTTATGTGGAGTCAAAAAGTTTTATGGAGGGAAAGAAGGGAAAGATGAAAGTTAGTAGTACCAACACTTTATATGGGTGTGAAGCTTGGGTGGTAAATGCAGCAGAGAGGAGACGGTTGGAGGCAGTGGAGATGTCCTGTTTAAGGGCAGTGTGTGGTGTAAATATTACGCAGAAAATTCAGAGTGTGGAAATTAGGAAAAGGTGTGGAGTTAATAAGAGTATTAGTCAGAGGGCAGAAGAGGGGTTGTTGAGGTGGTTTGGTCATTTAGAGAGAATGGAATCAAAGTAGAATGACATGGAAAGCATATAATCTATAGGGTAAGGAAGGCGGGGTAGGGGTTGTCCTCAAAAGGGTTGGAAAGAGGGGGTAAAGGAGGTTTTGTGGGCAAGGGGCTTGGACTTCCAGCAAGCGTGCGTGAGCGTGTTAGATAGGAGTGAATGGAGACGAATGGTACTTGGGACC